CACAGCAGCTCAGCCTCTGAACGTACAAGGGACTTCCTCCCACGTTTGATCTAAGGACCTGGACAGCAGACCTCATGCTGGGTTATTAGCACAAAAGCCTTTAGCTCCTCAGGATTATGAGTAGATTTTCAACTGTGTCTGTGTCTCCGTCATAGACCAGGATCCTCTACGTTTGCTGTCAGAACTGATTGGACTGTCTGTTGACCTTCCAATAAAGCATTGAACCTGAAAATAAAGTCTGGTTGTTGGTTTGTTTATGAAACGCAATTATGAGGAAGTGGTTCTGGGCACATCCACTCCGCGGTCCAAGGGAGAAGCCATCTTCTTGGCTAACAACTTTCCTTTCTTCACTCACCTCACAAGCATGCAGAGGGGCAGGAAATAGATGTAAAGATTAATAAGTCTACACTGAACTGAAAAATAAATGTTTTTAAAGGGTTAGTGATTTAAGTCTTTCAATCTCTTGATTTTATTCATAAAACATTCAGGCTTAAGTCAACAATAAGTAGCAATGAATATTTATCATATCTATGTATTTATCAACATATGGGTTTTATTTAACACAACTCACATTTCCCAATTGAATCATTCCATTTATTCAAAATTGGTTTATGTTTTTAATTTTTCTTTTAATTTCAGAGAGCAAGAAGGAGAGTGAGGGAGATAGAAGCATCATGGATGAGAATCATGCATTGATTGGTTGCCTCCTGCATGCCCCCTCTGTTGGTTTAGCCTGCAACCTGGGCACGTGCCCTTGACCAGATAGGATCCCGGGACCCTTCAATCCACAAGTTGATGCTCTATCCACTGAGCGAAACCGAAGGGGCAACTCAAAATATTTTTTAACTAAACGTCCAAATCGTCTGCTCTCACTGTGTCTCACTGTCACCCGTCTTCACCACCATCACCACACTGAGGAATTAGCTTTAATCCAATCAGGGAAAGAAACAAGAAGACATAAATGTGAACCAATTATTATTTAGCTGAAGCTAATACCAAAGAGCTTTCTTAAAAATCTAAATTTCAGCAAAATTTGAATTTCTCCTTATAAAAATGGGGAAACAGGGGGCATACATCTTTGATGAGATTAAGAAAAAGTTTGGAGTAAAACAGCATTTGCCAAAGTTTTGCACCTACTGACCACCAGTGGTCCGCGGACCATGAGTTCGTGACCACTGGACTAAAAAGCAAATGATTTCCTAGAATCCAATAATATTGCCAGAGAATAATGTAAGATGAAGATATTTTGTTTAAATTCATATAATTTGGTCAAATATATGTGCTTGAATGTATGCTGTTAGATACTCCATACCGCTGTGCAGGTGGAATTTAATCTTTCAGTCACTCAGCAACTATTTTTTTTTGAAAAGGAATTGATACATTCAGATGGTAGGAAAATGATTTATCAAAAATGTTACATATGCTCGGTTTCCATGCCTCACTGGTTGAGCATCAACCTATTAACCAGGAGGTCGCGGTTCAGTTTGATTCCTGGTCAGTGCACATGCCCAGGTTGCAGACTTGATCCCCAGTGTGAGGTGGGCAGGAGGCAGCTGATTAATGATTTTTCTCTCTTTATAAATGTTTCCATCTCTCTCTCAATCTTCCTTCGTATCTTAAATCAGTAAAAAAAGAACATAAAGAAAACCTCAGGCTAAAATTACAAACCTGAGTGGAGGGATGAAGTACTGATGGGAAAATCGGATCAGAGTGGAAGCCCTGGCTGCTGTGAGCATGTGTGGGACTGAGCGGGGAATGATGACTGAAAGAGCGGCTGGAAGAGACAGAGGATGTGTGGGAACTGGGAAGAATAGAGAGAGAAAATAAAGAGCAACTGAAAAGCAGAAGACACCGTCACCAATGTTTCCGGATAATCGTTTCCATGTGAAAAAGAGGGTGATGTTTACAGAGAAGTTTGTGACCAGGTGCTCAGCCTGGGGACACACGTGTGAGATTGTTCTGTGGTCACATCCTCAGCTTCTGAAATGCATTTCACTGTGTGGAGAAGCCAAAAGCGTATTTTGCCAGAAGATACATAAGATTAACATGGTTGTCTCATGTGTGTGTTCAACTAAAGAGAAATACGTTTGACAATTAAGGAATTTCATAGGTGTAAGGATCTTACATTGGATCACTGTATTTGAACTGAGATGTAAGTAAGATAGGAAAATCCAAAGTATGATATGCAAATTAAGATGACACAACATTTAATGAGAACACGCCAACAAACATGACGAATGCCATGCGCTTAGGATGGAGAATTGTGTTTAGCGAGTTTTTATTTTGTGACGTGGAAGACAGATATGCTTCTCATTAGAAACAAACACTGTCATGGGTTCCAGGATGTTCTAACCAGGCAGCTGTGCCGGCTCCAAATTTTAATAAATATGAGCATCTCTGGCGTAAGCAACCAGATTAACGAGCTGCCTCAGGGCCATGAATCCTTTGGAATGAAACCCAGGAATGGTCACGTGATTGAGCACCTGCTGGCCCAGGTATATAAGCTCCCTCCCCACTCGCTGACATTCACTCTCAGGACCCCATCTTGAACAGAAACACACTCCCCCTGACACCATGAGCTACTACGGCAGCTACTACGGAGGCCGCGGCTACGGCTGGGGCGGCTTCGGCGGCCTGGGCTGTGGCTATGGCTCCGGCTGGGGCTGGGGCGGCCTTGGGGGCCTGGGCTGTGGCTATGGCTACAGAGGCTATGGCTGTGGCTGCTGGCGCCCGTCCTGCTGCGGGGGATACGGATACTCTGGCTTCTACTGAAATCCTGCCCAGCAGCTCAGCCTCTGGGGGGGCGTCGGGGGCCTGGGCTGTGGCTATGGCTCCGGCTGGGGCTGGGGCGGCCTTGGGGGCCTGGGCTGTGGCTATGGCTACAGAAGCTATGGCTGTGGCTGCTGGCGCCCGTCCTGCTGCGGGGGATACGGATACTCTGGCTTCTACTGAAATCCTGCCCAGCAGCTCAGCCTCTGAACGTACAAGGGACTTCCTCCCACGTTTGATCTAAGGAACCGGACAGCAGACCTCATGCTGGGTTATGGGCACAAAAGTCTTTAGCTCCTCAGGATTATGGGTAGATTTTCAACTGTGCCTGCGTCTCCCTCATAGACCAGGATCCTCTGCATTTGCTGTCAGAACTGATTGGACTGTCTGTTCACCTTCCAATAAAGTATTAAATTCCAAAATAAAGTATGGCTGTTGGTTTGTTTATGAAACGCAATTATGAGGAAGTGGTTCTGGGCACATCCACTCCACTGTCCAAGGGAGAAGCCATCTTCTTTGCTAACAACCTTCCTTTCCTTCACACACCTCACAAGCATGCAGAGGGGCAGGAAATAGATGTAAAGATTAATAAGGCTATACCAAAATGAAAATAAAAGTTTTCAAATGGCCAGCGATTTAAACCTTTTAATCTCTTGATTTTATTTATAAAGTATTCAACTTAAGAGACACACTCAGGGGGCAGACTCAGTGAGTCCCAAAGCCCCACTGAAGTAAGTTCTGTCCCATAAGGT